CAAAACCCCAAAACCCCAAAACCCCAAAACCCCAAAACCCCAAAACCCCTTTATGATAGGATAAGTAGAAATCAGCATTTTTAAATTTACTAAATTTATCAATTTATATATGGTGATATGAATACTGAGGACATTTTCATGATCAAGACATCATTGCTTCTAGCGCTCTGAGTTCATCATCTTCATTTTGGACCTTATTTTGCACTCTAGCTGCTGGTTACTTCACAGGACCAGCTCCCATATCTAATGGGTCGCTACCTATCTCTAACTAAGCTAATTCATCCTCTGCCAACTCTGCTTCTAACTCATTAAGCTCATCAAGAAGGTCATCTTCATCTTCCATTTATCCTGCTCTGACGAAGAAATCAGTCTTCTCGTCCATATCTGCCTTTTGCTCTTCTATTCTTTCCTTGACTTCTTCTAAATCATCAATGTTCAACTACTTATTTAGCTAGTCTACTGTTTTTGACCCAGCACTCAATGATTAAAATACTTGAGCATCTTAAATGCTTGCTATAGAAAAAGTGTAAGATTAATTATAATGCCATACTTTCAATCATTAGTCTCTATTATTCTAGTAGTACCATCTATCCATCTAGTTTAGCAACCTCCTTCTCAAGCATCTTCTTTCTCTTAAGTGCGAATACAGCACCTATAATTATTAAGTTACTTCGAAATTCGTTTTCAGTCAGAATTTATTATTCCTTTTCATTAGATAGTTTCCAAAATAAGTCACTAACTTACCTCTAGTATCCTTAGCCTTCTTCTTTTCGAGTGCCTCTTACAAAAGTCTCTTCATATCCATTTCAATCTTTTTAGATCGCTTCTGCACGTTTTCAATCTGCTCAGACAGTCTATCCATAGTCTAAGTTGGGTCGACTTAAGGTGGCGCTTCCTTCTTTTTATCTCCACCACTTGATCCGAAGAGTTTTTTAAACATTTTGATTTAGATATAATTATTTATAATTTTTTCTAACCTAATCTTTTTAGCTGTGTGCTTTCGGGTCATGGGGTTTTGGGGTTTTGGGGTTTTGGGGTTTTGGG